GCGCGCGACCAGTTCTGCTCGGCCCCGCCACACACGGAGCCCGCCGGGCGCGAGCCAACCGGACAGCGGACGGGCCGTGGTGCACGGTGAGCGCGCAGGGTTGCGGGCGCCGTACGGCGGGTAGGGTGGCCGATCCCGAAGCCCTTTTCCTGGCCCTGCGGAGCGAGGGCGACTACGACGCTGCCCAGGGCCGAAACCATGAACCGGAGTTTCCACAAGTCTCAGACCCTGCGCTTCTACGACTGCAGCGCGGTGGAAGTCAAGAGCAAGGTGAGCGCAGAGGAGTCCGCTCGGCCCGGGGCTCTGCAGCCCCTTCAAATGAATGGGGTGGACGCCGCCGAGGGGCCTGGCCAAGTGGGAGGGAGGGGCGCCGGCGACAACTTTCCGAGTTCGTCCTGCCTCCACTCGGCGCGGGCCCGCGCGAGGCCGCAGGATGCCCGGAGCCGTCCGCCCGGCAGACAAAGCCGGCGCCGAGAGGGTGGGCTGGCGCGGCCGGAGGGCCCAGGGCGGCCGAGCAGCTGCGTGGCCGGACCTTTCGGCTGAAGCTGCTCTTTTGTTCGCGGGGTTGGAGGGGCGACCCCGTGCGCTGTGCGCGCTGTGGAGAGGGCGCGCGGTGGGGAGGGCGGCGTCTCCTGCGCGAACCGGGCCCTGGGTTGCTCCGGGTGCGGGCCTCTGGGAGAGGGCCCTGGCCTCCACACCTCATCAGGCTGCAGAGGTGAGTTGGTACCGGCGACGAGACCCTAGAATGGACTCCAGGTTGGGGCCTCGAACCCCTGGTGCTGGAGCCCTCAGCACCTCCCCCTACTCAGTTCTCCAGTGTCCCTGGCACGCCGCGCTGGACCCCGGGTCCAGCTCCCGGGACTGAGTCCAACCCTTGATTCGACCCCCAGTCGCCCCTGGCCTGGACACCTCAGACCCTCGGCCCCTGACTCCCCGGTGACTTCAGCCCAGGCCCAGCGTCTGCAGCCGCCCGCACCCCGCCGGCCCGAGCGTGTCCAAACCTGCGGGTCGCCCCGTGTGTCTGGATGAGTGTGTTAGGATCTGGCGAAAGTGCCTTTGCGGGGGCGACTCTTCCGGGTCACTGAGGGGCCTGGGTCGAGGACCCCTACCGAGAAGTCTCTGTCTTCCATAGATATCCAGAAGAGGGCCTTTCACTGACAGATGACCAGAAGCAGCTCTCTGCGTCCCCTGCCTGCTCTGTAAACGGACAGGTCACTGAGAATCGGCTCTGGGTCCTGGGAGACCTCAGCAGAAGGAATCTCTGGGTGTAGGACCACACTTTTTCTGAATTCTGCTTTCAACTAGGGGGACTTCACCCTTCTTCCTACTTGAGTGTGAACCCGGTCCACATTCCACCCACCAATCCATCGCTCCTTTGCTCAAGATAGTCATCAAAATTTAATGCCCCGGAGAGGAAACCCCAAGCCTGTGAAGGTGATGATAACTGTCCAATCTCTTAAGTTCCTCTAATATCACTTTCAAGGGGCCTCTGGAGGGAATCCTTAGGAAGGTGCACTGGTTTTCCCCAAAGACCACACCTCTGGCAGTTTGAGCCCACTGTTGGGGAAAGATGGGCGGTCCTCCCAGTGCTTCCGATTTAAGGTAGAGGAAATTACTTTCCACAATAGTATTGGCCAGGTCAGTAGCCATGTGTGGTATTTTTTTAATAGTGACTTTTTTATTTGAAGATAATAGTAGACAGGAAGTTGTGAGAAATGATAACGATCTCTCTTGCCCAGGGAGCTATACTGTCAGTGGACAACTCTAGGCTCATTCTTCTCACCAGTCAGAGGCATGTTTGTGAGTGCTAGTGTGTGTGAGTGTGAGAGATTACAACAAGCAACAGTTTACATGCATGTGATCATTTAAGAGTATGTGTATGCTCAATAGTATGTGAGTGTGGTGTGAGTGAGTTGTGTGGGAGTGTGTATATGAAGGAGTGGATTTGGTGTGTGCATGTGTGTATGTTTAGTCTAATGCATTTTTATCGCCCATGTATATTTGTGTCCTCATGAGAACAGCCCTTTTACAGTGGATAATTAATTTTATTAAAATTAAGAACTCTGTCACTGTGTGGCCCTGGCCCCATCCCAGTGGCCGTATGTGACCAGCTTCTGCTTGGCTGAGAGGACTAGAAATAGAGACAGCCTTGGACCACTGGGTGGGGCCCACCTGCAAAGGGTGAGTGCAGTGAGAAGCCCATCTTGAGCAGCAACTCAGCCCAGGTGAGGGACACTCTGCAGGGCCCTCATGGCCTAGGCCTGTGGCCAGCTGGCTAACTGTACACTGCCCCTCCATGACTTTCAGATGATGGCCGGAACTTACTATTTGTTCAGAGAGGCCCAGGCTCTTCCCTCTGGACACCCGCCCAGAGGCCGCCTTTGTAATTGATAGTCCTTAGCACAGAGATGTTTGAATATACTAATGAAGAGTATTTAGGAAAAGCTCACCACACCAGGCTTGACCACTCCGGCACCTCTGCAGAAACCTGTCTGCTCCAGCCATTTGTATCAAAGTGGAGGAGAAGGCAGATAACTCAGGCTTGTTTCCTGGGTAAACTGCATACTACCTGTTTTGCTGGCCTTCTAAGATGTGTGCCCAAACATAAAGGCATTTCCCTATGTTACAAGAGTTAGGATCCTGTGGTGTTTCCAGGCATTGGATCTCTGACTCTCGCAGACCTCTTGACATTAGCCATCTGTCATAAATAGTCAGTTCCTATTGGCTTAGAACATATTCACCTGCCTTCTGCCCTTTCTGAGCGTCCCACAACCGAGTTTCACGCAGCCTTGGGGGTCCTCCTGTGTTACTTGTGTGGGTGGGGGTTTGATTCTGAGGCTTCGTCTGACATACTTTGGTCATGTTGTAAGGAGAGACCGGTCCTCGAGAAGGACATCATACTTGGGAGGGGGGAGGGCAGGCGCAGGAGGGGAAGGCCCTCTGGGAGGTGGATTGATTCGATGACTGGGGCAATCGGGATGAGTGTGTCCAAGACAATGAGATTGGCACAGGACTGATCAGAGTTTTGAGCTGTTGTACATAGGGTCTCTGCGAGTCACAAGCGACTCGACGGCACATAACAACAACAACAACAATTGGCTTAGAAAGTGCCCAGGTATGCAGCAGAGTCTTGACCTAGTGGTTCTCCTCTACCCAAATGTTACTATGCTTTTACACCTGAACTCCATCTGTGCCCCCAGACCAGCTGTGGCTACTTCTGTTTCCGGTAAGTTGGGCTGCACTTTACCGCTTACCTTTTCTTGGGTCTTCCTTGCTGGAGACTAGCAGGCAAGCAGGAGGCAGGCACACAGCTGTCTAGGCGTGGGAGTAGAGAAGGCTTCAGAGCAGGGAAATAGTGCCATGATAACACGTACAATAGGAAGACCCTCAGTTGCATCGTTTTAGCCAACCCCACTGGCCTCCTGCATATGCTTGGAAGCTGGAAGGCAAGCATCCTTCCCATCTGTGAGGTGCTCAGTGCACGGGGATGCTGTGTTTCGACTTTCAGTCCCACTAGCCTCCAGCATTTTCTGAGTTACAGGTTCCCATGCTGCTTTCAGCTGAGATGAAATGATCATTGTCTCTTCATGGTTCATCCCAAAACCAGAGGTCTGTTTGCCTCAGATTTTGTTCTTTCTGCACTAGCTTTCTCTAAAATGCTATCCTACCTTGATGTCCCTCCAGATTACTGGCTCTTCTATAAAGATTATGATTTTGCCACGGGCGTACTCCCTCTTTCCTCTGTCAAATGTCACAATCCTGGCTTAGGGGTGATTTTTCCAGAGAAACTATGTACTGTAAACCGGTAGAAGGATGTCTGTGTTTACACTAATGGGGTTTATGGTAGTCACTAAACTTGAGGGAGAATTATTTTAATCATATTTTGCTTTGCTGTTTAAATAATGTTGGGGCTTTGGGGAAGTCAAGCAATTAAAAAAAAACTCCATCTTATGTCTAAACAATAACAAGTATTCTATTTGAGTTGCACTCACTTGTCACTTTTTGACATGGTTCGGTTCCAAAGATAAGGTCATTAAAAAAAAAAAATCAGCACTTGGCAGCACCATAATGGATGGAGAAGAGTTACAGCTACCACTTGTCGGCTTCTAGATTGACACCTTTGGCACCAGCAGAGTCAGGAAGTGCAAAGGAAGAATTGCATTAGGTAAATGTGCTGTCAAGGCCCTTTCCAGAGTACTGAGACGCAATGATGTCAGTCTAGAGACTAAGATGTTCCTTATCTTGTTCATGGTCTTTGCAATTACTTGCTATGCATCAGAAAACTGGATAATGACTAAGGGGGATAGAAGAAGAGTTGATGCCTTTGAGTTGTGGTGCAGGGATACCATGGACCGCCAAGAAAACAAATAAGCCCGTCTTGGAGAGGGTGAAACCGAGTTTCTCCCTGGAGGCTGGGATTTTGAAACTCCCTCTCACATACTTTGGGCACATGGCCAGGAGGGACCAATCCTTGGAGAAGGATGTCATGCTTGGAAGGGTGGACGGACAACACAGGAGAGGAAGACCCTGGATGAGATGTATTGATGTAGTAACTAGGGCGGTGGGGGTAGTTGTATTGGAGTCAGTGAGACTGGCTCAGGACAGAGTAGGTTTCTAAACTATTGTACATAGCATCGCTATGAGTCACAGGTGACTTGACGGCACATAACAACAACAACATGAGAAAATGGAGGATAACGATATCATATCCCAAAATGAAGAATGGCTGCATCACTCTCTGACTGCCAGGTGACATCCTTATCTGTCAAACCAGTGACAGCTGTGGCCCAGCCAAGTTGATACATAACCTTAACCATCAGAACCAACGCCACAGTGTTACTGCCAAATGCATGTTGTTGTCGATGTGGAAATTACTCCTAGAGTTATTACGACTGTGGATGTCATCTAATGACAGTAACTGAGGAGTAGGTATAATTTTATCGGGCTTTAACAGACAATACTGTGAATCACATTTCTGTAGTTAAATCTTAATATCAAGATAAAACATTGTCACCAGTGTGTTCCTAACTCATATCAACCCTATACAGAGAATGACATATACATTGTGTATGTGTCACTTATAAACTGGGTTTGCTGTGTAAGGCTCTGGTCACCTGGTGAGTAAGGAGTTGCACTTTCAACCCAAAGGCACACATTTGTTATCCACCAGTTGTTCCTCGTAACAAAGAGGAGCAACTTACTGCCTCTGAAACCCTGTGGATCAGTTGTAATTAGGTTCTGACTGGATGTACGCTATTACAACAACCGAT